AGTTAGCAGAGGCAGCGCTGAAGCTACAGAGGAGAGGGAATTTGCTTTTGCGCTACGACTTGACGAACTATTATTAAACTTGACCCACAGCCGGTCAGCAGAGCAGAGCTATCGTATGACCAGCAGGAAGAAATGAATGGATTTGTTATACAGACAGATAAGGATTCAAAGTAGAACTGTACTGTACTGGCTCTGAGCTGGACTACACTGCCCCTCATGTATGCAAATCCCCACCAGCTGCATTTAACAGGGAAATAAGGTGTGTGTCAGTGTCAGGTTTGTGTTCATAGGTAAGGATATATCATTTATTTTACCTCGGTTTTAGCGTGTTCGGGCACACCGGGTCATTACGCTTCAAAACTGAACAATTCATATGGATTTTGTGCCCAAAAGGGAGGCAGGTCCCCACAACATGTCTGTGTAAACAGTTCATGATGTAGTATGTGCGCCTGCACACAGAGCATCTGTGTCTTTATAAGCCTTTCCTTTCACCTGCCATCACCTGCTCTGAAGGCAGGCTGGGTGACACAGGCTAATGCACACACACATGTGGAGTGAGGGGCAATGAATGGGCTATCAGCAGACAATGAGAGAGCTGTTTGTACAAGTAAGCAGCACAGACACACAGCGTGTACCCAGTCATAGCAAAATGAGCTCTTTACTGTATGTTTAGTGAGAAAAGAGGAATATTTACTCCTCCTCTTCCCACACAAACTGGAAAGTTTTCACTGAATTAACCGGAGAAACGGACTCAACTAACTGTCAACCTTAATTCATGATGTTCACTTTATTATGTTTGCCAGCTTCTGTGTAATAACCATTTTAGCCACTAGATGTCACCAATGATGAAGGAAAACTCCACCGCTTCTTTAATCATTGTGGTTATGATCAGGTGTTCAAACCTGCAAAAATGTAAATGTAAGAGATGCACATGGACAGGTGATGCCTGTAGGTTTAACGTGGTCCGCATCTGATGAACTGTTCAACAGTTTTCAGTCAGCAGTGGAGCTGTTAGACAAATAAAGACAGACAGACAATAAAGCCTGTTCTGTTAATAAGAGGTGGAAAAGGTATACAAAGTACGTTGAGCTTGTTTTATTTATAACATTAAATGTCAAAGGCCATTCATACACATTTTTGGAGCTTCAAAGAATAAAAATAAAAATAGGAAAAATGGGGCAAAACGTGCAAATATAATTACTACATCTGTAATACAGCTTTGATCAGTATTGTTAAAAAGCCAGATGACATTTAAAAGTAGAATAAACCTGAATAAGCTTCTTTTTTCAACAAAACGTACAACATAAGCGTTTAGATCATGTTTGTTCTTCAGTGTACGTCAGAATGCTCATGTAGGTGGACTCATCAGCCTAAAGACAATTTCTTTATGTGTATGATGTGTATGATACACCTCTATGTGTGTTCTCATTTGTATAATGAAAACTGTGATTTGGTCTGATCCTAATCTGAAAAACAAAGCACTGCAGTTTTTACTACAGCACTTCACCCTCCAGTTCTTTCCAGAGGCGGAGGAAAAGAAAGAAAAACATGTCCTAGATGAAAGTGACACATGTCCTGGGCTCAGTGTGCGGCATTCCTTGGACCCTTTGCCACCTCGAGTTTAGGATCCAGTTTACCTACTGCAAAGAGTGAGGGGGAGGGGGAGGGGGAGGGGATCAGCTCCCAGAATGTGTCTATTGTCCCGCTACACCAATCAAACTGTTGTGTCAGTGCGTTGCCATTGTATAGTCCTGGGTCAGGTTGCCACTGACCGTGGCTGCCATATTGATGACTAAGTCAGTTTGGGGCTCTGAGGACAATGGTGCTCTGGAGCCTCCACAAAGCACGAGGCTAATGCTCCCCTTTCAGCCGGCCCGCTCAGCTGCTGAGTGTGCAAGGCTGCTGGGCAAATGGAGTGGCTCGGGTCCAGGGGGCCCAGCCCTATAAAAACACAGGCGAGGGTCTCTCCCCCGACATTGATTATACTGGATCTGTCCCACCTCAGTACCGTCTGTAAGTATCTCAGCACTGCCTCAGACTTAGCTGCAAGAAACAGTGACGGTGACAGCTTTGTGTACTAGGTGGAAGCGACAGGCAGCGAGACGCTCCTCACACTGTGGCTTTGGTAGTTAGTCTATTACAGACGCACTTTGTTAACATTAAAGAACTTTATCATGAGGACAGCTGTGTATTCCTATAATAAGCTGGCAAGATGATGCCTTTCGGGTGTGCTTGTGTGTGGCTTTTAAAGACAATGCAGGCGTTTATCTGAGTGCAGTGTTGTGTGCTTTTCCACCACAACAAAATCAAACGAGCCAGACTAGAAAGAGATGAAACTTCATAAGCTTTCACTCTGATTCTGGCTGGAAGTGGTTCTATCTGCCACGCTGGAGTCTCACGGTGCAGTTTATGAGCTGGAAACGTGGTTGCTGATTGAATCTCCATCTGATTGAATCTGTGCTTTAAGGAAATGGAAAAGCAAAGAATGAATGGAATTTTTCACTTGTGACACCTTTGGAGAGTGAGCTAAAAATAGATGCAACAAATGTTTTATTTTTCGCCAAGCTTCCAGATAAAGCTTGCAGTTTTAGGATAATTTAGAGATGTGCCTGGCTCGCTGACGACCTCTACCCCACTGATTGCTCATGCTACCCGGGGCTTTAGTTGTGATTGTGTGATGGTGTTATTCCTAATCTGTTTTATGCTGAGGGTCTTTATTAAACTCTGTATGTTGTTCAGAGAGTAACCCCCGAGGGAGAAGCAGCAGCCATGAACACTCAACAGATGGAGCAGATGGGCCAGTTTAAGATCACAGTCTGGGAGGAAGAGAACTTCCAGGGAAAGCGCTGTGAGTTCATGCTGGAGTGCCAGAACATCATGGAGAGGGGCTTCAACAAGATCCGCTCCATCAAGGTGGAGAATGGACCGTAAGTGAAAGACACATTAAAGCTGTTTATACCTGTAAGCGCATTATGGATCAGCACTTTTTCTTTTTATATTTCAGTAGCAACATCTTGTACATTCATGTTTGTTCTCGTGAAATTTGAATCTCACTGACCTGAAAAGGTCGGACTAAAGCAGACAGGAGTCAAGAAGTGGAGCAGACAGAATAACAAAAACTCTAAACCTGCGCTGTTATTAGTTTGCTGCTTGGCATGTACTGCTTGCATGTGTGTGTGCGTGTGCATGCATCCAAGTGTGTCCCTGTTGTGATATGAGTTGGCTGCGTGCAGCTGCTGGCTGTGACTCGTGATCAGATAAAAAGGCCGGGGTGGGCACAGCCCGGCAGCGGCGGTGGAGGCAGGAGCAGTATCTAATGTTTGCTTTGTGCTCTGCAGTCACAAAAGGAGCTGCATGCTGCTTTTGTGAGCGCTGGACTCTATTGTTTAAGAAGGACGACAGTGTCAATATCATTGTGTTGTGTATTTAGTCGTCCATTAAAAGTTTTTATTGTTTAGTGTTCTTTTTTTTTTTTATTTGGGGATTATTCTGTCGTTTCCAGCACATTTAACCTCAGTGTTTCTGTCTCTTTTCTCAGCTGGGTGGGTTATGAGTACCCTGAGTTCCAGGGACAGCAGTTCATCCTGGAGAAGGGAGACTATCCTCGCTACGAGGCCTGGAGCGGAAATAGCAGCTACAGAACCGAGCACCTGCTTTCCTTCAGACCCATCAAGTGTGCTGTGAGTCCCTCCTCCTTTTCATTTATCTGTTTTCTCTTTTTATCAATCAGTCTTTGTAAGCGATCTGTCTTCTCCACGCCTCCTGAGACATTAACCTCCCTCCTTCTTCTTGTGAATCCTGCAGATGTGTTTGCATATATTTATTTTAATGCATCACTTACAGGCTACTCATCCTGTGACGCTTCCTATCCTGTTAGCTTTAGAAATGTATTTTTTAAAGGTCTCTTTCCTTGTCTGTTGTTCCTTTAAAATAAATATGGAGCCATAGGTTCTATATGTTTTCTAATCAACCCTGAATAAAACCCTCATAGTTCTTAGCATTAACGTCCTCTTTATTTCTCTAATTACGTACCAACTATAATGTAATAAAACAGCTTCGAAATGAGTTGTTTGCTTCTCTGCAGAACCACAGTGACAGCAAGGTGACCATGTACGAGTGTGAAGACTTCCAGGGCCGTAAGTTTGAGCTGTGCGATGACTACCCATCCCTACAGGCCATGGGCTGGTGCAGCAAGGAGGTGCCCTCTATCAAAGTCAACTCAGGAGCGTAAGTTACACGTTTTTCTCTGTGTTCAACGTCTTTCCTTAAAATAAACAACATGTGCACGTGCTTTTACTTACATATTGTGCTCTTATTTTACTCAAGTTAGTTTTTCATTTAACACGCTGCTGCAAAATATAGCTTGACGAGCTGCACACAGTCTCCTGACTTTGTGCAGTGTTATAAAATATATGAAGGCTCAACCTTGTAATTACACTGAATTTACCAAAGTGCATTAAACTTTAAAGACTAGCAGAACCCAAAGATGCTTTACTGAATCCTTTGATGTGACCTCGACTCTAACCCTCCCTCCTTCTTTACAGCTGGGTTGCCTACCAGTTCCCTGGTTACCGTGGCTACCAGTACATCCTGGAGAGAGATAGACACCAAGGCGAGTACAGAAACTACAATGAGTACAGCACCCAGGCTCACACCAACCAGGTGCAGTCCATTCGTAGGATCCAGCACTAAGCCTCCACACTGCCGGCCTGACCCCACCTGAAAAAGAAAGAAAAAACCCCTCCCCATAATCGCTCTCTCAACTTGAACCCTGGACAGATCGCTGTCACAGAACAGTAGATGGACAAACTCTTTCTATCACTCTGTGGCTCTGCATGTATGGATATCTAAGTACCTACTTCTACTATCATGCTGAAGCATGTTCTTGAAATTCTTGAAATAGGAAATAAAGGCTTTTCTTCAAAACTAGACACTGTTTGTCGGTATTCTTTTTCTTTCTTTTTTTTTTACATGAAAGTTTATCAACCCAAATAGAATAAATGGAAATGAAGAGCTCAGAGAAAGTGGCTGTAATACTCGACTTCTACTAAGCTATTAATCTGTAGCTGCAGTTAGACTGCAGGTGTCCAAGCATTGCAAAACCTTTGTAGCTCTATGAAGACGTTGTTCTCAGAGGCAGGTTTTGCTTTGTGTTTATTTGAAGTGCATATTTGGCCTTTCAGTGAACATCCCTGGAAAGATTTGATTCTGTTAGGCTTTAGGATGTATAATGTTGTTCTTGTCATACTGTATTCTTATTTCCAATAAACAAGAGCACAAGATCACTTTGGTTTCTATTATTTGTTTTTCAACTGTTTGAGGCACAGTTTGGCAAACTGACCAATAAGGCAACGCTCCGTGAAAGCAACATGTGGCAGTTGGCCACTCAAAGCCGGCACCTTTAGACAGCTGACACTCCTTAACAGACATATGTAAATAAGAAAAAAACATGGGCATGAGTGGCTTTTTATTTCATTTCAACTGACTTCCTCTGCTATGATGGTGTTAAAGAGCTATTGAAGCTAACAAACTTAATAAAAAATCCAGCAGGAGTTCCCCGAGAGACAAAACATCATAAATGTTATGTTTTAGTTTCAGATAAAAGTTTAGATACATTTTAGGTTTCACAACTTAATCGATCAGTTTGATCCAAATGAAAACTGCAGCCTCTGCAGTATAAAATCAAGAGATATCCAAAAGCAGCCCTTAATAGTGTGAACAGCATACACAGCATTACACTCAACCTTGCATACCGTGAGTACTTCATTTGAAAGTCTAGTAGCTTAGCATTTGTTTGCTCACTCTGATGTGTCACTGTGATGTTGATCTTACAGTCGCACTCCGGGTTCCTGGAGTGTGTTTACCTCCACCTACACTCCTCCTGTTGGTCCAGGACATAGGATTCCGTGTTACACCCCCAAAAAAAGCTTTCACAGTCCCACACCCAAAAAACAGGATCTTTATATAAATGTGTAACCACGCGGCACACACCTTTCTCAAATATACATTCCTCTGCAGACTGATTAAAGCCGCTGCAGCGCAGATTACAGAGGAGTGACACTTGAGTAGACAAGAAAGTTACAGCTGCACAGCTCAGAGCACCAAGGTAAGCTCGAGACTTTACAGAGAAAACTTCATTGTTACAGCTTTTCGTAATGTTTGCAGGGTTGATTAGTCTGTGGTTTAGAATTACAGCTTAAAATATGAAGTTACTTCATTCGATTTGAATATTTAAAGTTGTCAAGTAACAAATTGAGTCCAGTGGTTATTGTGGGGTTTGCTAACAGTGACACTTTTGACTCTTTAGGTTTACAAGTGAGAAATGACACCACCTGGCTACCGGCTGATGCTAACTTTGCTTTTTATATATTTAAGATTATGTGCTCTAGCTCAGATAAATGACTTTTTTTTACTCTTTTTTATTTTTGCTTTTAAGTTTGAATGTTCCTCCAGTGGATTTCTGTCCTCAGACTGAGCACAGGTGGACGTTTATGCATCCATTTCTCTTCCTTTCACTTCTCCAGTGGATTCAGTCTGGCTTTCGAGGCTTGTTTTAAGTTGCCTGTGAATTTTATCTGTTACACAGGCAGCTAAAGCAAGCCTTGAACACCAAAGACACACCTACCAGGACATCTCCAAACTGAAGGGGGACAAAATATGCTGTGAAATATATGATTATGAGCTCTGTCAGTTACAAAGCTTTTCCTGTGTGTGTGTGTGTGTGTGTGTGTGTGTGTGTGTGTGTGTGTGTGTGTGTGTGGTGCTGATATTTTATTCCGTACACTTGATGCTCTGGTGCTTTTTAAAAATAAAAAATAAACACGTGTGCATTTGTGCGTGTCTGACCTCAGTCATGTGACTCATTATAAAGATGATTAATGATAAGCAGATATCCACTTTCAGTTCAGTCAGCACAGAGGACTGATTATATGTTATGAACTAAGATGTCATCTTTACAAAGGCCAGATGTATTTTCAGCAAATTAAAGGAACTAGTTTATGCATCCATGTCCAGTTCAGGGTCATGGTGGGCGGGGCTTTGAACATATCGCAGGTTGCCAGTTTATGGGCGGTATGGCAAACTTAGAATCACCAGTTATTCTAACAGGCATGTGAGAGGAAGTCAAAGAGTGGATTTGTTGCTGTGAGGCAGCAGCGCGAAGCCTTTTTTAAAGAAAGGTATCTGTTAAAATCTTTGTTCGAGGTGGCAAAGAGGATGGCTCAAATGTGCCAAGTGACAGAAGTGAAAGTGCTTTTGTGTTTATGACCATGTTATTAACAGACAGCAGGTATATGCTGCACTGTGAGGTTATGATGCATTCATGCTGTTGTTGCGGACGGAAAAAGACGAAGAAAACGTGTCAGAGTCTTTGCATTTGGTGTTTTTAATAAAATGGATTTTGTTGTATGATATAAAACATATTTGACAAGATGTACTGGAACCAAACCAGGGACACTGAACATATCTAAAGACATTAAGTCACCAGAACCTAAATAAATATTAAAATATTAAATATTTTGGTACATTGTTACTGCGTCTTTGACACACTATTTAAAGAATGTTGAATTTTCAAACTATAAGCTCCCCAGCGGAGGATTTTCTTAATAAAGGTAATGTGTGTTATTAGTTGCATAAAGCTCTATCATCAGCCCGCGTTGCCCGTATGATGCCTTATTTACGCCTGAAGAAATGCGCAGACTCTAGCACATGGCCATAAAGCCCATGGGCTTTTCACTCCACTGCTTCTAAAAACACAGACGTATAAAATTATGAGTGGACACGATAACGTCAACGAGCATCACGAGGCATGGTTTTAAAGTTACGACCTCATTACCCCCAGATTGAGGCCATATAACCTTAAACCCACACAGAGCAGGTTAGGAGGGATGAAATGTTCTTGTTTTCTCGTGGCCACTGAAGCGTATTTTTTCAAGGTAAATATTCTTTTTCCAACATGAAATAGGTCTTTGTTGTTTGCCGAGAGGTAAAGAGGCGGAAAAGTGAGGAGGATCTGAACTGGTTTCCATGTCAAACACTTCAATTCACCATAGAAACTCAGATCTTAACGCGGAAACTTTATTAAACTGTGATGGTGGATTGATAAGGGCCGAATTTCTATTGGCCTCTTTTTATTGTGGGCGCCAGGCGGGCTGACAGAGGTAAATTGCTCTTTTAATTAAAGCAATGCACCAGGGGAAATTGCTGTCTGAATATTGTCTCAGAGATGGGGGCCAGTGACAGTTGCCTGGAAACTTCAATCTGTCTACCCGCATTTATTCCAGATCACAGTTATGAGATAAAGTTTAATAAAAATCTTTTCCTCCGCCACCAACGAAATGAAATCCAACCCTTTCTGAACAAGTGAACACAATGAGACAGGACTGCGGAGGAAACCTCATGTTCAACATGTATCTCTCAGGTTCGTCATTTGGTCCCATTAAGAATGAGAGAAACAGCCCGTTTTATATATCTATCGAGATTTTTTACATTTTTCTCCGGGTGTCGGTGTCCTGCCGACGATGATGCTCCGTTTCCAGGCCAGAGCATTGTTCAGCCTTTTCAATCTGAAAGCCCGTCTGCTCTTTTGTCGGAAATCGGAAATCCTTTTTCCTGGACGCGTTTCCTGGCTTCTAGCAGAGACTGCAAAAGGCGACATGCTCCAGGCATTAGACTGCAAATGGACCAGGATACAATTGGAATTTTGAAGCTCAATGTTTGAATTTTAAATCTTATTTTGTTTTATTTGTATTTTTTTCCTTGCGCTCCAGTTTGCAACATTTTAGAAAAATCGGGGCATTTTTGAGCAGCTCTAATCTCAGTCCTCCGGTTCTTTCAATGCATTTTTCTACTTTCTTGAGATATTGCGCTTCTTGCTAGATTGTGCCTATAAAATCTGACCATGAAGAGATTTTTGTTCTTCTAAATAAATATTAAATCATAATATTTTGAAATACAAGCGATAAAAATCATCTGCATAAGAAATCCTCTTGTCGTAGTTTCTGGATGAAGATGCTGAAAATGTGTCTGTTTTCATTTCAGATCCAACAGAAAGTCTGTTGAAAGAAAGCAAAGGAACCTCCTGGGCTCCGATAAATACAGGAGTTCAAAAAGGTAAGAGGACAAACTCAGAGCCTCGTCCGCAGAGACGCTAAATACCGTCACTGCGGAGTGTCCAGCTCCTAATTAGCAGTTTACTTATTTTTAATGGAGAGCGTCTTCAAACGCAAAGATATATGAAAACATAAAAAATGATATCATAATAATAAAAATGATGTTAGAAAATAGTCCCACAGAAACCTCTCAAATCATATCGCAAACGGGTCATACATAAAAATAGTTTCTGAAATAAAAAATATTGATCACAATATCATAATTAATGTTAATAAATCAAAATAGATCACAATAATAGCAGGATTTTAATGCGTTTACTCTGCGTTTCATGTATTTCCTATAGTCGCGTCTTTAGGTTTAATTCAGTTCTTTTTCTCATGTTTTTTTTTTTGCACCATCACATTATTTTTCTTTTCTCCTCTAAAACAGATAATTATCAAAGCATCTCCGGGATCATTTCGAAAGAAAATAAAAATCGTGTTTATTTTATGATTAAAAAAACACAGCGGCCAAAATGAATTTGTCACGTCTTGTGTTGGACGCTAATATTCACTCTTACTGCTCTCAGGACTTCCTGCAAAGATGTTTTAATTAATTTTAAATTTCTGGTGATTATGAGCAGCGTGTTTTTTAAATATATGTTATAGAAAATATGGAGAAGCTAAATATAACCGGACCCATTTAAGCTGCTTTAGAGGAGTAAATAGAGATTTGTAAAATGATGTCATGATGGAGTTATTATCTTTAATTATATGTAATAAAATAACTGCGGATCTTTTGCGTGTCTTACATTATTTAATACCTGAATTTTCAAATATGATGAAATTCACAATATTATCTTTCATGAACTGATAATGCTGAATTATGTAAAGCGTTATTTTGAGACCAGTTATCTATCTATCTAGATATATCATTTTTTACTTTCTAGACAAAATTTTGTATTTTTTGGTTTGTTGTTGTTTTCGGGATTTATTTCAGATTATTTCCGGACCAGTTGTGATTTTCTTTTCTTCCCACACTCAGGGAGTGGGCAGATTCAGCTCTGGCAGTTCCTGCTGGAGCTCCTCTCTGACAGCACCAACATGTCGTGCATCGCGTGGGAGGGCACCAACGGAGAGTTCAAGCTCATCGACCCTGATGAGGTGGCCCGGCGCTGGGGGGAGCGCAAAAGCAAACCCAACATGAACTACGACAAGCTGAGCCGGGCGCTGCGCTACTACTACGACAAAAACATCATGACCAAAGTCCACGGCAAAAGATACGCCTACAAGTTTGATTTCCACGGCTTGGCGCAGGTGTGCCAGCCGTCCACCACCGAGCAGGCCATCTACAAATTTCAGGGCAACTTCTCCCCGATCCCCTTCTCCGGGATTTCCAAACTGAACCTCGTGGCTCCTGGCGTGGGGCCTTCGGGGTTCTCCTACTGGGCTGGCTCCACACCAGCGGCTCTGTACCACAGCCACAACCTCCAGCCTCCGGGGCCGTTTGGCACCGTGTCCCCGTCCCACATCGGCTGCGTCAACAACATCAGCAGTCTGAGCACCATCAACAACCACTACAACTGACTCTCGATGCGTATTTTAGACACACCGGGAAACCGACACACTGCAGTGAGGGAGGACAGACAAACAGCACAAACACGCTGACTTTGGTGTTTGGCGGGGAAAATATGATTTAGGCTCAAAGTGGTTCAAAATTAGATGTTTTTAAAATGTCATGTCAGGCTTTTTTAAGCGGCGCAAAGTTGTGTTTAAAATCAAAATTATGACTAATAATGACACCGGAAGTCTTCTTGCATGTAAGTAAGGCACGAAAACCTAGAAATTAAATATTTAATTAAATTTAATTTAATCCTTGTGGAGAAGCGATTACGATCAGATTACGCACAGTGCTTTGAACCTGAGCGCTTAATTTGAACCATAAATATTCCAAATATGAAATGTCCTTATTTAGGCCACTATCAGTGAGACGTAATCGGAAACCAAATAAAGGTTTACACGATGCTTGTTTTTGAAACAACAAACAAATAGTGTACATATATTTAAAAACGTTGAATAATAAATCATCTTTCAGATCCATTTCCTATCAGACCTCGGCTCCCTCGCTCTCCCAGCCCTTTCCCTGAGTTCAGTGTTTGTTTTCACATCTTCAGGTGGATTTGCACCGACGTGGGCGCGAGCTGCCAAACTACCATCGGACTAGTGGCGCCATCTTGTGGTTATGGATGAAAACAGGCTTGTTGGACTGGAATGAGACTCGCTTGAATCATGCTGTCACGTCGATCACCGTTTGGTTATAAATCAGATCAGACGTAATGAAACTCTTTGTAGGAAAAACAAACCTCACGCAATAACAAATGAAAGCAGCGCACAGACACGGGGAACAGGAACTTTGTGTGAAATAGGCTGAGTAGAAACCGAAACTGTGAATTCCCAAACTGCTCTGTAAATACTGTAGAGTAGAGACCGGCTCAGACTATAGAAGCTCTTCAGTGATTTTAAAGTGAATTCATTCACACTGTGACTAAAACAACTGTACCAATAAAAATACATAAATAAACTCTTCTGAATAAAAATGTTGTCACTATTGTGAGATTCATTTATTTGAAAGCGTGATCTTTATGTTGACCCAAACGTGGGTGAGCCTGTAAATGTCCTCCATGCGCCAAACCGTCAGTGCTGTTTCTCAAAATGCAAACTTTTATTTGGATTTGTGAACTGACCGCCTGCAGCAGTCTCGGTAATCAGAGAAAAGTTTGCAGTATTTGTCTTGATGCATGCTCAATCATCCAGCTAAATCCCAAAGGTTGATTCTGTTCACCTGGACGCAGCGTGACTTCTTCAGTCTCAGCTGACTGCAGGTTTCTTATAAACAGTACATTTGCACAATGACTGAAACCAGCACCACTGAATGAACAACGGGCTGTGAGGTCAGTTTCATGATCGTTAATATGCAGATTGTCATGACCACTGATCATCAACCACTGGTCTAAGACCATTGATCAATGCCACTCTAGCACAACAAAGAGAGCTACCTCGTCAGCCAGGACTCTGCAGTCTATTTACACCAGGGGTAGGCACCTCCAGGCCTCGAGTGCCGGTGTCCTGGAGGTTTTAGATGTGTCCATGATCCATCACAGCTGATTTAAAGGACAAAATGACTCCTCAGAATTTCTTGAAGTTCTCCAGAGGCCTGCTAATGAACTAATCATTTGATTCAGGTGTGTTAACCCAGGGTGGGATCTAAAACCTGCAGGACACTGGCACTTGAGGCCTGGAGTTGCCTACCCCTGATTTACACCAACAGGCCAGTGGACACTCTTTCAATGATGAGGATGTACACATCGTGCGGAGCGCGGAGTCAAGGAGGCCATTTACGTGAAAAGGGAACGACCATCTCTGAATCAAGGAGGGGGCCTAAGGGTACATCTGTCACCATCTTACAATGCTGTGATTGCAGCCGTTCCCCAACTCTCTGTGAATGGGACTCATGGCCATGGATCAGTGGTCTTTGATCAATGTGCATGTTAATGATAAAGGAACTGACCTCCCAGCTCATTGTTCATTCAGTGGTGCTGGTTTCAGTCATTGTGCAAATGTGCTGTTTATAAGGTTTGAAACCTGCAGTCAGCTGAGACTGAAGACGTCACCTGGATCAGTGACGAAACGTTTCTCTCACTGACAACGTCCAGATGAACAGAATCAACTTTTTGGGAGTCTTGCACATTACGTCAGCATGAGCTCTGGCATCAGCCACACTTTATATTACTGGTTTGTCAGCATGATGCTGTCTATGATGCTGTCACTGACAAAAACAACATATTTCAGCTCATAATGTGCTCCTGGTCCTGCAGTGACTCATCCTGTTGGTCCAAACAGACCCACAAACAACCAGCCATCTTTATCACTGTGAATTACAAACAACAAACAAGCTTTATTTGTCAGATTTATTATTACAGGTGAAATGCATGTGTGGCTTCTTTAAAAAGAAGAAAATATTTATTGTTCTTTCAGCTGTGGAAGTATAAAAATATACAGTAATGTGAAATTGAAGCGTTCGACTGAAAAGTCCATCAAATGTGCTTACGCTGTTTCAAGTGTCAGCTGCTGCTCATCGTGAAAGTGACTTCAAATAAGAGACGTAAAATAAGGGCAGTAAATCTTTTCATCCATGTGGGGGCAGCACAACTCCTCCAACGTCAGGATCCAGCTTATGTAACCAGGTGATAGCAGAGCTGCTCTAATATAGAACATGGAGCATTTGCAAATAGCAGATTAACCCCAAACCTCATTTTATAAAAGTGCGAGACTGCAGAGGTTTGCCTGGGTGAGCACGACCAGTGGAACAATGGGACGTTCACACGTTTTACTGGTTATATATAAATAATTAAAACAACATTCTTAGCAGATATCAGTCAGTCAGACTGATCAGTGATTCAGAAGGAAGGGATGTGTGTGTGTGTGTGTGTGCGTGTGTGTGTGAGGGAGGGAGAGGAAATAGAGAATGGTCCACTCATTCACAGCACTGTTTGTGTGTGTGTGAGTGTGTCCTGCATATCAATTGGAAAGACATGGAGTCGCTATTGACAACTGAATTTCTCTCATGCCTTGGTCCCTTACCAACAAAAGAGTCATGGCACGCACACACACACACACACACACACACACACACACACACACACACACACACACACACACACACACACACACACACACACACAGAGAGAAGAAGGGTGAAAAGGTATGGATGCCTCTTGTGTTGTTTACCCCAAACTGTGCTTCTTGTAATACCAACCATGGAAACTCCACGGGGATTGAGTCACTTCCACAACACCGCGATCGTCACTGTCTTCTCCGCCAGCAGCTCTGCCACTAATCTGCTGTGCCTATTGTTGCTGATCCTCATCCTCGCGCTTCTTGCATAACAAACTAGGTGGGTGTTTTCCTGCAAGCCACAGGATTAACAGTGTGAATGCAGACGACCGAGGAGCGAAAAGAAAACACACGAAGGAGGAGGAAGAGGAGGAAGCGAGAGAAAGAAGAGCTAACTGTGTTACTTGGTGGCACCCAGGTCATTAGTGAAGCTTCCTTAAAGGTCTTGTTTGTCACTTGAATACTCGAATTCAACATATCTGGATGTGCTAGCAGTCATTTAGAGAGGAGAGCTTATGCAAGCTGTCCACTTCAAACGCTCCATCGATTCTGGGCAATATTAGTAAAGGTTTCATTTACATGAACTTGAACATAGGCTTCAGCTTCTGCTGTGTGAAAATGGATTTGTAGACGCTGAAAGCTCCAGAAATGATAACATGAGCTTATTTGAGCTGCAGACCAGCAGTTTAAGTGGTTGATGCATTCACTTGTCTTATCAGACCAACAGTAAACATGTAGTTTATCAAACTGCAGCAAAACAAAAAACTATTTCCTAAATATTTGCCTAAATTCGTCACATACTCGGTGAACAAAAGCAGGTCCCTCCATCACAGCTGTGCGTTATTAGGACAGAGTAAGGCAGTCACTGGGACTGGGTTGCTGTGTGTGAAGTGCAGTCAGTGAGTCATTCCTCCAGCAAGAGAAAGTGGTAAGAAGCCTCTTCTAATTTAGAACAGCACACCTACGTGGTGCTGAAATAGACTTGAGAATCAGAGGGTGAGAGAAAGAGACTGGAGGATAGGAGAGGCTGAGAGAGGTGAGGGAAGGAGAAACAGTGTGCTGCTGATTTATGTCCTTTTATCAGAGACACCTATATTTTTAGACGCTGACCTTGATTCTCTGAGTTAAAAAATAAAAACAAAAACACCCAGTACTTATTTGCCCCCATCTGGAGAAGAATGTCCAGAACACGAGTGCATGAACCCACTGAAGACACGTTTTTAGCTTTAACAGTGGACTAATTATTAGCTTTTATTTGAGGTTTGGTGTGTTGAATCCACCTGAAACCAGTGTAAACATGTAGTGGAAGGTGAGGCTCCCGTGCACTCTCTGCTCTCCCACACCTGTTCGATATCGAAGGACTGCATTTCGAACAGTTTGATGTGGAAAATTAAATAAAACATATCAAGGGTCGACGTTACACTGAATACAAAAGCTTCAGTATTTTGCTTGAAATGTTAATTTGTCAGTTTAGTTAATGGTCTGGGATCAGAGCGACCTCTGCGCTTCAAAACCCTGTTTGGGATTTTGGCTGTTACATAAAACTAAATGGATGAATAATCATGCAAATTGATGCGGTGTGAAATGATTCACCGGCAGAGAAGACAAAATAACAATAAACCCTGTGTAGGTGTGTGATGAATGAAGGAATTAACATTACGTATTGTATAACTGGGTTAAATGTAAGAAAGCATCATGCAAATGCAACAGCATCGCCTTATGTAACGCGGGTGTAAGGTGAAGGAAATAAAGTAAAACGAGCTGATCAGTGAAGCGATTGAAGATTTCTGGGATCCTCTGTTTGTCCCTACCTTGCTATTTAACAGTGGTGACACAGTACCTCTCGCAGCAGCCCGTCGCTGCAGTAATCTAGTTAAAGAGATTAGCAGAGTGGTTATGTAGCAAGTCGACAGCAAAATAGACATAATCCCTGTAAGGTGTTGTCCTGGCTGGTCCCAGTTTGGTCCTTTTTCCTCCCATACGGATGAAGATGGCAAATGTTAGGTCA